GTTGCCTTTCATGCGTTGTAGATTGCGATCGATTTAGGGGGAATCGAGGACAGTCATTGACTGCTGATCTTCGACGACCGTCTATGGAAGATTGGAGTCGTTGTATACAAACATTCAGACTTCTTTTGATGGAGTTATTTCTGCAACTACAACACAATCTTCCGCTTCAAATCTTATTTTCGGACACATATCTACAATCCGACTCATGTTAACTTTAATATCTTTATTTAAAGTCTCTTTTACACAATATAAACAAATATATTTTCTATTTTATACTGTTTCATATTTTTAAAATCTTCAATTTACTAATTTTTTTAAAATATATTATAAAAGAGTAAATTAATATTTGCAAATTTTGTTAAACATTTTAATAAACAAATTAATAAAGGTAACTTTTTAAATACATTTACTTTATTATCATTATTTATTTAATTCTAACTAACTTCAATTGTATTATATAAACATATTATGTACATAATTTCACATTTCATTTCCTAACCTATGTCTTCTTATGCAGAAAACAACAGTAACATGTACCACATGCAGGCCAAAGAGAAAAGAAGACAAAGAAAAATATATTTGGAAAATAAAAGATCGAAGAAAATAAAAACAATATCAAACGTTCCAAGTATATCATTACAGCATCTCTTCAAAAAAACCATTAACTATAACCGTATTAGTATTTTATATTCCATCTTTTACTGTTATATAGTTGAATACATATATTTACAAGTTTTATAAGTTATTTCTATTTGCAGATCAATCAACCAACATTGTTCGTCAAACTCAAAATGTCAATTCATTTACAACACCTGCAAAGCATAACACAACCATACAATACTGTCCTTCCTTTACAGATGTTAGAACTCCATTTTCTAACATTACAAATGTTATAAATCCGTTATCTAACATTACGAATGGTAATTATTTATGGTTTTTAAAATATACTATTATCCATTATGTAAATATTTATTTATTTAGTTAACTATTTTATTTTTATTTTATTCAGATAACATTGGTTTCGATAAATATATCACTTCCAAGTTAGCAAAGAAAAGACAGTACCATGTACTTTCAAATGATATGACATCAAAAAATGCATCTACAGTAACAACTTCTTCATCATCAATCAAGTTAAATCCAGGATGTCATAAATTAAAAACGAAGACAAGACATTTATCCCCTATCCCATTGATTGATTTGACAGAAGATGTAGAAAATATACATCAAGTGAACAATGAAAATCGTATAGTTGGTATCTCAAATGGTAATGAAAAAATAAAATCCATTTTACATTTCAGATACTATGTTCTATATAATTATAAAATTCATTGATATTTTATTCAACGCTTTTATTTTACAGAATATTTGGATCATGGTGATCAAGATGTTGTATGTCAAACATGTCGTGCAAAGTTATGGAGAAATGAATCCATTAGAGGTAAAGAAAATGGGAACACGGATTATTCATTATGTTGTGGTTACGGCAAAGTTCAACTTCCAGACTTAAAGAATGCACCCCCTACTTATGAAAGAATGTTTCGAAATATGGATTCAAAAAGCAAACACTTCATGAAAAACATTCGACGTTACAATTCAATGTTTTCTTTCACGTCGATGGGTGGTAAAATTGACTCTTCAATCAATAGAGGAAACGCTCCTTACATTTTCAGATTGGGTGGTCAAAATTATCATAGTATTGGAAGTCTATCATAGTATTGGAAGTCTTTTGCCAGCAAAAGGATCGGAACCAAAATTCTCTCAGTTATACATTTATGACACTGACAACGAAATTACAAATAGACAAAGATGTTTTCGGTATTTTCTCAAACTTCTTATTCATAATCTATTATTATATATATATATATATATATATTATGTATATATTACTAATATTATGTATAAATTTATTTATTTTAGTGGTGAAAAAGATCAATCAACATCAACTGATAGTGATATTGTTAAAGATATTAAGGTGATGTTGGATTCAAATAATGTCTTGGTTAGATCTTATAGAATGGTAAGAGATACTTTTCAAAAAAATCCAGAAGTTGATATGAAATTACGACTTATCGGGAGAAGGGAGCAAGATGGAAGAACATATAACCTACCGACTGCTTCTGAGGTTGCTGCTTTAATAATTGGTGACATTTCGGATTCAATCGAAAAGAGGGATATCGTCGTTCAAACAAAAAATGGTTGTCTACAACGTATCAGTGAATTGCATCCTTCGTACCTTCCTCTCCAATATCCATTGCTATTTCCATATGGGGATGATGGTTATAGTGTTGACATTCTTCATAGAGGTGTGTCATTTACGACCAACAGCAAGCGTGCGAAATGTACAATGAGAGAATATTTCGCTTATAGGATTCAAGACAGAGATCATTCGTTCTCTCTCATACTTAATTCAAGAAGGTTGTTTCAACAATTTCTGGTAGATGCCTATACTATGATGGAAACGGAGAGAATGTACTACATACGTAGGCAACAACATGTTCTTAGATGTGATTCTTATGAAAATTTACGTAACCAAAAAGCTCAAGGAACGACTGATATCTCGAATGTCGGCCAACGTGTCATATTACCTTCATCCTTTACCGGAGGTGCACGCTATATGCTGCAAAACTATTTGGATGCCATGTCACTATGTAAATGGTTTGGATATCCTGATTTCTTCATAACCTTTACGTGTAATCCCAAATGGCCTGAGATTAAAAGGTTTCTTAAGGATACTTCACTTCAACCAGAAGACAGACCTGATATACTATGTAGGTTGTTTAAGATCAAGCTTGATGCATTCATTAAAGACTTAAGGGAGAATCAAATTTTCGGCAAAGTTCAAGCATGTAATTAAAACTATATTTTTAATTTTTTTATAAAACATTGATCTTATTATTATATTTTAAATATGTTTTGATATCTAATCACATTCTCTTTTATTTTTTGTCAAATTCTTTTACAGATGTTTATACCATTGAATTTCAAAAAAGAGGTTTGCCGCATAGTCATATATGTCTATTCATGCATTCTGACAACAAGCTACCAACTGTTGAACTTATCGATCCAATAATTTCAGCAGAGATACCAGACAGAATTGAAGATCCTGAATTGTATTCACTTGTAAATGAGTTTATGATTCATGGTCCATGTGGAGCTGAAAATATGAATTGTCCATGCATGGTGGATAAAAAGTGCTCTAAAAACTTTCCAAAACAATTCATTAATCATTCGTCTGTTGATCAGAATGGTTTTCCGTTATATAGGCGAAGAAACGATGGTCATTTTGTAGAAAAATCAGGTGTAAGGTTGGATAATAGAAATGTTGTTCCATACAACAAATATCTATTGAAAAGATATCAGGCACATATTAATATTGAATGGTGCAATCAGGGATCTTCTATAAAGTATTTGTTTAAATACATAAATAAGGGTCCTGATAGAGCTACAGTTGCTGTTGTACCAACCAACAATGAATGTGAAAATAATGATGCGGTCGATGAAATAGCTGAATATTACGATTGTAGATATTTATCAGCATGTGAAGCATCATGGCGAATTTTTAGATATGATGTTCATTGCAGATATCCTTCTGTTGTTAGACTACCTTTTCATCTTCCTAATCAACAACAGATTGTATATGGCGAAGATGATGATATTGATGATGTTCTTGACAAACCTTCTGTTGCCGCTTCAAAGTTCACAGCTTGGATGGAGTGTAATGCAATCGACAGTGAAGCACGAAAACTCACATATGTTGAATTCCCTACAAAGTTTGTTTGGATATTAAATGGTCGGTTTTGGAAGCGAAGGAAAGTAGGAAAAGCCATCGGTAGAATTCATTCAGTTTCACCTAAACTAGGTGAAGCATATTTCTTAAGGATTCTTTTAAATAAAGTAAAAGGACCAACATCATTTGATGAAATTCGCACGGTAAATGGAGAAACACATTCTTCTTTTAGAGATGCCTGTTATGCACTCGGGCTATTAGATGATGACAAGGAATACATTGATGCAATTAAAGAAGCAAGTCATTCTGGATCTGGTTTTTATCTACGCTTTTTATTTGCTACATTGTTGATGTGTAATAGTATGTCTAAACCAGAGATCGTTTGGGAAAATACATGGGAATATTTGGCAGATGGAATTCTATATAGCCAACGACGAAGATTTAAGTCAGCAGGTATTACATTTTTTCTTATTTTTTAAAATTAATTTATTTTTATTTTTCAACACCCATTAAATAATTAGTAATGAAATTATTAAATATCAACCACGTATTTTATTAATTATTTAATATTTTCGTGCAGAATTGTCTCTCGGAGTAGATGAACTTAAGAACTTAACTTTGTTCGAAATACAACAAATTTTACTTCGAAACAACTCTACTCTCAAAAACTTCAAAAACATGCCATACCCAGATGTTGAATCCGTTTCTTCTTCAAACAATCGACTTATCACCGAGGAACTAGATTACGACATTCCCGTGATAAAGAATGACTATGATCGTATGTTTCTTGCATTAACAAATGAGCAACGGAACATTTTCCTAAACATCAAGAGTGCTATTCAACAAAATAAAGGAGGTGTCTTCTTTGTTTACGGGTATGGTGGAACGGGTAAAACTTTTTTATGGAAAACAATATCTGCAGCAATTAGATCTGAAGGAAATATTGTATTAAATGTTGCTTCAAGTGGTATTGCTTCCTTATTATTCCCGGTGGTAGAACAGCACACTCTCGATTTATAATTCCATTTGAGCTTACAGAGGATTCTTTTTGTAACATAAATCCAGACGGTGAGTTGGCAAGCTTAATAAGGAAAACCTCTTTGATAATTTGGGATGAAGCACCTATGGTCCATAAGCATGCAT